CACAATACTCATCATCTTCTTTTGGGTGGAGACCCCTCACAATACTCATCCTTATGGGTGGAGACCCTTTACAATACTTATCTTATCTCTTTTTGGGTGGAGACCCTTCACAGTACTCATTCTAATAAGCACACCGATGCTTGCTTTTGCGGGCGCAAGCCCCAAAACTCACCCTTTGAACCACCCAAGGTTCAATTCCTCTCAGCTTAGACGGAGGTCCTTAAACTCGCTTAGAGTCGATCTTGAATCATCTCCCATTTTATTATACCAATCCTTAACTACGTTTTGACTTGATTCTCACGCTATGGGATACATAGCTAGCTTAAGATACTCCCTAAGTTCAGTCATGTTCCTCATCACCCCAATGTCATTCCCACACTCGAACTGACATCCACCATCCAAATCTCCACCACTATCCACCACCAAATGACTGAAAAAGCATACATGTACCTCCCTTTTGATTATTACACAATCATATGAATGGAAATGAAATTTAGTATAGAGTATAGGTAATCGTACTTGGAACGGGCATCTTGGGGTGCAACCCCTGAATCCAACCTTTGGTAGAGCAGACCATGAATCATTCAAGGCCCCCAAATTTAAACCAAATTCTTCCCAACCATTGGTGACTTGACACACCAGAACTGGATGTTAGGTGGCGACTCCTTCAAAAACTTTGAATTTGGCCCTATCAAGAATCAGTTCCAAATCACACCCTTGTCACACATAAGTGTCGACAGCGACGAGCCAACCCTCGAATCCCTGGGGACAAAGAGCTAAAGTGAGGTTCCTCCTCACCCCGAGAGGGGGGGGGGGGGGGGGGGGGGGGGGAACCCGTGGCGCTACACAAGTTTTGCAAATCTACCTAATTTCAAAGAACATCTAGAAAAATCTATGTTTATTATATGAATGTATTCTTTGTTAGTATAAGAAGATTAACGTATTTGATTCGAGTTCAGAAAAGACGAAAGAAGGGATGGAAATCTATGCTTTGATTTTGATTGATTGTGGAAAAATTGCTCCAAACTCGAGGGCAAGTTCTTTCCAACTCGGGAAGACTGATGCAAGCAAAATTTCAAATTTCTGCAAGTGGAATTTGTGTTTTTTAGAAACTTTCCATGTTTTATAAGATTCCTTATTTTAAGAAGTTTTCTGATTTTCAATAGCTTTCCTTTTAAAGTAGTTTTCTGATTTTCAGCAGCTTTCCTATTTTGATTTTATTTTATATTTAGTAATTAGCTAGTCTTAAAGCCTTGTAATTGCTAGGGTTTAGAGATTAGTGAATAGATTATTATTTTTACAACAAATAAAGTTTACTTTACAACTTTGCAATTCTCTTTTCTCTAGCATTGTTCTTTTTTTGATGAAGGCACATGCTCTATCAAGAGTTACAGCACCACAGGCCGCATCAACCACCAGTTTTGCATCACTTTCCACCCAAATGCACTGAACCCCAGGTGATTAGACCACTATAAGGCCCGACGAATGCAATAAGCCTCAACAGAAGTTGTAGATACTACATAAAATGATTTCAAAGTTACCACGTCACTGACTGACCATGTTGAATCCCTGAACAATATTCAGGAAAAAAAAAATCCCAGAACAAAGGAATGGTTGGAAGATGGAGGTCGTTGTGGAAGGTGGTGGTAGTGGTGGAAGTCAGTGGTGATGGTGGTGAAAGATGGAGATGGTTGTGGTAGAAGGTAGTGGTAGTTTTTGGACTTGGAACATAAGGGTTTTTTGGGAAATTGATTTTTTTAAAAAAAAATTATTTGGGAATAGAGTGACCATTCCATAGGTTTAGTTTTGGAATGGTCATTTTCACTTTAAATTGAATACCAAACAAATGAATGGTTGAAATGAGCATTTCATTCTATTTCATTCCTACACACCAAATATAGCATTAGATTTTAAACACATGATTGCTTGTGTGTGTATATATATATATACACACACATATATATTTCACAACCTTCTTGTCGAAACCAAGAAGTAAGTGATTACCCAACTAATTGGTATACAGCTACAATCAGAAAGTGATTGCAACTATAAATGGCTACATGTGATTACAGTAGCGAAAGCCTGCATGTTTTTTATATGGGTAAATTACATCAACCTCTCCTGAGGTTTGGTCAAATTACACATAGATGGAGCGTTTGAGACTTATTACATTAATCTCCCTTATGATGAGTGAAAAGTCAATTATACCCTTCACATTTTAACGCTTAAAAAATCTTTTATGTGAACTTACAGTTTTGTCCAACATTTAATAAAAAAAACACACTCCCACTCAATCTCTCTCATCCCTCTTACATTCCTGATGAAATGCCTAAGAGAACCGAAGCCTTGATTGTTGAGCATCTTCCTCAAGTTTCTTCCCCAGAAGCTGACAATGTGCCAGATCAATTGAACCCTCCTACAGGTGGTGTTCCACCACCCCCGGGTGGGAAGAAGAAAAATAAACATAAAAACAACAATGGGGTGCCCCTATGTCCCTCACTCTTCCACCAGTCCGCAAAGGATTGAATGTTCACACCAATCCAATCGAATGGGAGAGATTTTTCAAACCTGAATCGGCAATGGACACCTAAATAATAGATGCACCACCATTTCCTCCTCCATTCCACATGGAGGACATAACTCACACTCCACAATCCCCCGGGTTTTTAAAGCACTATTCATTGGAAGAACTTCCCAACAACATTTTCATAAAAAAAAATCTTAAAAAACTCACCCGTCCATCTTGTTTCCCGTGAATTCAAACCCTTACCTTTGGTAGCTTGCCCTCATATTTTAATTCAACATCTTAAAAAATAATTGATCTACTTCTAAAACCAAAAAATATATAAAAAATTTGAATTAATATTATTAAGAGATCTGTCGGGTTACCTAAAGTAGATAAGATGAAGATTTGGACAGAAATTTTGAATATTTTTACTTACACAGCCACAATCGTTTTGCCGCGATTGTTGAAGGGCATTATAAAAAGACAGATGAGTAGTAGTGAGGCCCACACAAACTTTGAGTGAGTGGGTAGCTTCATGTGATGTACGATTAATATCTTCCCTCCCGAAGGAAAAGAGAGTAAAATTTCAGAATTTACTATTAATTCATTCAATATTTCTTTTTTTTCAGAGGATATTTTTTTACATTTAAATAACTGTGTTAGATATACAAATATCCTATTCCGTCTATTTGGAAATCTTGGTTCAAACTCTTTGTTACTAGATAAAAGATGCCTCTTCTTTGCATTTATTATGGTTCTTTCTACACGAGTACAGTAAGCTTAATTAGAATAATTTGATTACTCCAAATAAACACAGTTGCATGCAACTGTAAAATTAACCTACGTATGTAATAAGGGTGGGGGTGGTAGAAAGGATGGAGCCGAAGACAGTTTTCAATATATTTATTTAGAGGTGAATCTACAACTCTAGAAATTGAATACAACACCTTTAGACCAAGTCTAAAGGAGTTCATCTATTATGCTTCAGTTGGTTAGAGGGATAAAAAAATAGATGAAATGGAGAACGGAAAGGATGGATAAAGTATCCCTATGGAAAGTAAGACATCTCTCATTTTATTTTATTTTTTTGCTTGGTTGAATAGAATGAATAGTAGAACGGATGGATGCGATAATACATTTTTCTTGTTTGGTTGGAAAGAAAGGAAAGAGTGTATTTATAGTCTTTTTACTAATATGACCTCATTATATACAATAATAAAAAGTAAATATTTATTTCTAATTTTTATAAAGGTTTAATGGAAATTAGATATTTATTGGTAGTTATAATTTTCACCTTCCTATGTTTCCCCCAATTTTTGGCTGATAGAAAAATTCAAAGGAAAGCCTTCCTATTTACATGTTTACTTGACCTATTTTTAATGCCCTTATTTTATAAATAATAAGCTTTATTGCATAAAGAGCAAAATTTTCATTTTATAAAATTTGGTCAACATGTATACCAAAAAGAGAACGAATATCATTAAACACACGCAAAGAGATCAAAACGTTAATGTGGGTGCCAAAATTTATCCAAAATTTAAAAAACACTGCAACTGAGAAAACTGACTAAATGGAGAGAAATGGTATGCAGTAAAAAAATTTGCAACCAACATTTACCGCATCTTGAATGTACTTTGTTTCAGACTCCTTACATTTCATTAGTTACTTACATTAGAAGCACACATGGATCAGGTTATGCAAGAATCGACATAAGCCCAGCCCAAAATTAGGTGCGATTGGAGTTTGCGATCCCAACTTCTATTTTATTTTTATTTTTATTTCAGTGTTTTGTTGAATAGTACTCCGTATTATATATATATATATATATATCAGTGAACGAAAAACATAAAACAAAAAATATTTTTTTGTATTATTTCTTTCTAATTTTGAGTGTATCCCTATTGAAAACAAAAGAGACAGATTTCTCTACAAAATCAACAAGTCCCGAGCAAGGGATGGACCTTTGGTGTTACCCAACTAAATAACAAACCCGAAACATTTTTCTTCAGTAGATTATCAATAGCCTGTGAGTTTTACACATGAAATTAATCAAGGGAAGAGATTCAAAAAAAATCCCAGAAAATAAAAAAGATTTACAATGAAATACATGTATCCATGGTGTCTGTAATTATAGATCTACAAACGCTTAAAAAATAAAATAAAATAATTATAGATCTATAACAGAAAACTGATTCTGAATGAAGCAAATCACAGCACATGTACACGTACATACATGAAAAACCAATGAATTTGTTATAATAATTTAATAAGAGTAATGATACGGCAACCGAATTTAATCACCGAATAAGACCCGAAATTGCCACATTACTCACTCATTCATTATATGAAAAATTCTACCATTTTAAAAAGATTACTTTACCTTCAAAATATCATTCAAACTCTTCCACGTTCTCTCTCTCAAATAAATATCTTTGTGTTCAAAATGGCTCTCTCTCTCTCTCTCTCTCTCTATATATATATATATGTATATATTTATATATAAATATATATATCAACCACAACCCCATGGTTTCATCAATAAGTATGCAATTCCCCTCCATGATCTACAATCTTTAGTTAATCCAATTGGATCAAGCGATGAACAAGGAAGACTGTATTATCATCACCGATCCAACATTCAATTTAACAATTCACTAGAATAATTAATGGTGACCCATCAAACCAGCAAATAAATCATAATTTTTCTTCTCTCTCTTCTCTCCGAATTTGACTCTCTCTCTCTCTCTCTCTTCAATTTTGCATTTCTCACACATATGCCCTAATCTCTAACTTCATTAGGGCTTTGTGAAGGAAAATGGCTCTACTCATCTATGTCATTGTGTACTATTGATTTGGGCCTTCTTTGAATAAAGAAGACAATAGAAATGAATAAATAATTTGAAAAGTTTGATGGGTCATTAAGAAGGAACAAATTTGAAAGTCTTTTAGGGAGAGATGTGAAGCTAAGGGTTGTGGCAATGGAGGGATGGGGGCAACACAGAGATGGTGGCGGTGGCGGTGGAGGTGGAGAGGCGGGTAGGACATATGAAGGAATTTTGAGAGAAAAATAAGGAAGGATTTGGATGATTATTTGAGAGAGAACGTGGGGAAGCTTGGATGATATTTTGAGGGTAAAGTAGTCTTTTTAAAATGGTAGAATTTTCCATTTAATGAATGCGTGAGTTATGCGGCAATTTCATCTTATTCGGTGATTAAATTCGGTTGCCGTATCATTACTCATTTAATAATGTATATGCATCAAAATATTAAAGTATAAACCTATTAAAAGTTAAAACTACACAATATATCTTGTTATATATTAAGCAATTCACATTATATAATATAATTATAATAAACATGCATGAAAATTTTGAATAATCTCTATATGTGGTGTAAGAAATCCAAGCCCTTGATGAATATCCAAGTATCCAAAAAAGAATCTTGTCTCCAATCTTCCACCAATCTTAATTTGATACTAGCTATCGGCTACGAGTCCCAACTTCAAAATCCACACTTTCCAATAGTGAACTTGAAATTCTTCCAAACCCGGCCAATCAGCATACAGCTACACTAATACTTTAGAACAATCAAATATCAATTGGGTAGCAATCACCATATAAAATCTTTCGAATGTAAGATGTCGAATAAGAATGCTTACCACCACAAATGCTTGATAGAAAACCTCCATACAGTAAGCAATGGACACCAAGATGAAAGATTTCTTCAGATGTAGAAACACTTCTCTTCGTATCACAGTCGCCTAAATGAGCTATGCAATCAAAAATTTCCAAGTCTTTCACCGTCCCAAGCCATCTAAAATCGATAGGATCTTTAATTAGTTTTAAGTAACAGCCTTTGCGAACTAGAAAGCCCCAGACCTTTGGTGTAATATTTTTCATACAGTTGAGGAACTCCCTAGAGATGTCCTCAAAGTCTGCATTCTGAGCATGGCTATGAACAAAACTGTTTTCAAACACATCCACCAACGCACACTTGCAGCATTTATGACTAGGATGTGATGAAACTTCTGGAATAACGAACCCCTGATTTAAGAATGAATTCCATACTGAACTTCTAGCAAGACTTAGTAAGGACTCCCCTGCATTTGTCCAAAAGTTTGCAACAGACGCAACCAGAGAAAATTCAGAGAGAAAAAGATGGTGGGTAGCACTTGCAAGCAACAAGGAGTATCCTGCACTCAGTCTGCTCATATTGAAAGCTTCCAGTTGATGTTCATTCAAATCAGGACTGATTGCAAATATATCGGTTGCACGGATTTTATATGCAGAAGCCAGTGTGGTATAGGCACTCAGAGAGAGATGGTGCAGGGGATGCAACCTAAAGATGTTCTGTGATTTCTTCTCCTTTGGTTCTGACTGCTCATCAAGAAGCCCATGTGCAAGCATCTTTTCAAGCTTCTCACAGCAGGATTCAGGATTACCATATAACAGATACTCACTTGTAGCATCATCTACGTAATCAGTCAACTTTTTAATTGCCTCATCTCTGTAGAAATTATGATCAGAACTCAAGTTGGTATAATCGAGATTGACAGCAGAAAATTCCTAGACCACAAAATGATCAAGTGTTAATGCTTGTTCACAAGGTTCATTTAATAAATTTATGAATGGTCAAATTCTTAGACGAGATAATTATGTTAACTTTACCAAGTTGTTTAACAAAAAGAAGAAAAGAATAAGAAGTCCAGAGAATTGATAAGAGAGGAGATAGTGACTACGGCGCTTAGTGTTCAAAGCTGGAAAAAAGTTGCCCACCCCAAATATATATATATATATATATATATAAAATAATAATAATAATATTATCAAAACATGTACACAGATGGGAGAACAATCTTTACTTTTTTTTCCTAGTTGAGACTCAAACTCCCAATTTGCAACTACAGGACTTGTTTAGAAGGTGAGGATGTACCACTAGGTTACAGCCCTTGGTGGAAGAACGTTCTTTTCTCCAAAAATAAATGAGAAATAAATTCTAAGCCGTACATGACGGCGTTGAAAGAATCTGCAAATACCAGGGTTATTTGAGAGGAAAAAACGATATATGTGACACAAAAGTGCAGGGTAAATGTAGAAAACAGTTGGTATATTGTTTCCTAGTGAGAAACACAATACTGAAAGGGAACCAATTAATGTGGCATACAACTCAATTACCAAAAAAAAATGCCTTGTAATTATTGGAATCTAAATCTAATGTATGTAGAACTCAAGCAGGATCTGCTTATCATCCAGAAACAACAATGAATCATGTGTTAGGATTTAGGAAAGAGGAAGATGAAATTTATGGGTCACCAGGTTGCAATTACAAGCTACAAGGATCCTTGCAAAGATATATGAACATTTAATATTTTCAAATTCAGAAAATTCTTACTTCCAGAGTTTGGTCTACATAAGTTGGGGGCCAGGCAATACACCGCCTACAGCGACAAACAAACCGATACTTTAACCATAACTCTGATTGCCTCATTGCCTGGAAATATATAATGGCGTGAAAAGAAAAATTAGGAGCACTGATCAAATAGATTTAAATAAACTGTGAACATTAAAAGGCATCAAAGACACTATTGAGAATAAAGAGAGTTGAAACCCAACAACACTACAAATCCTGCAGATATGGTAATTGTACTTACGCTATATGCCAAAACCAGAAATTATACACAAAGAGGTTTACTTCAAACAATATCCTTTTGTGCCATTTTCTATAATCAATTAAGAAGTTTATTCTTCCTGTGCATTAGGGTGGTGTGGTGGTGTTCATAATTTTAGAGTCCACATTAAGACTTGTGTAAGAGCAGCAATTACATAATTTATGAGGAATGTGACCAGGTCCTAAATAAAATGTGATTAGATAAGACTAGTGTAGTGCATGAGAACACTTTTAAATTAATTTTTTTCCATTTTTGTCGCTTAGAAAGTATTGTTGTGAAAGTAACTATGTCCCTCACTGTGATGAATCCATGCCCTAAGTATGTTGCAAAGTCATTTGTAAAAAAGGACATTGACACCGAAAAATCCCCCCTCCCCATCCACTTTTGTCTGGTGGTATTGCCCCCCTATGTCCCTCACTGTGATAATTTTTATTCAACTTCAGATGATTAAACAGTAACTAGTTGACAAAAATTATTAAATTCATTGGTTCATGCAGCCATGAAGCATATAATTTAATAATTCGCTTCATGGGTAAAATAGTAACAACATAGACCACAATACCCAACTTTTATTCCATAAACAATGACCAGAATTACAAGCTAAAATCGCACATATTAATGTCATAATGCAATAGAAAATTACAAATTATATATATATATATATATATATATATATAGACCTAGGGCTGCAACGACACTCCTCGAATTTGGAGGTTTGTTCAAAGACACCAAATTTTATAAAATGACAATTTTGCCCTTTCCTTGTCTAAAATGTAATAGAGTATATTCTTATAATATAAGGGCATTATTGACTTAAAAATAGAAAAATAAAATGGAGAGGCGACTAGGGTTTGTGAGGCGACTAGGGTTTCTGCAATTCCTAGGGTTTGCAAGGCAGAAGACAACACTACACCACGGAGGAGGGTCATCCCTCCTCCTCAACCTTGGGAGTTGTCCAATCCCAACCTACTTCTTCTACTCATCGTCCTTCAGGGAGTTCCCTCCTGATGGATTCCTCTCCAACCGGTTTCACAAACCACTCGTTCCATAGTGAAAGTCGGAACAAAGAAATAATCGATATTGAAGATGGTGACATAGCTGATGAAGTGGCTTACTGGTCTCATTCTATTGTAATGTCATGGGAAGCAAGCCTTATTACCCTCATTTCAAAATACGTACAGAAACACTGGAATCAAAATGCAGTAGTTGTTTCATTGAAAGATGGGTTTTTCCAGATACGTCTCTCGAATGAAGAGGAGGTTATCCAAGTGTTATCTCGATTGCACACCTTTTAAAGACGCCCAGTTATTGTTAAGTGTTGGCACAAAAACATCAAACTGGAACGAGAAACTCTTTCAATCATTCCTCTTTGGCTCAAGCTTTATGATTGGCCTATTCATGCTAGAAGCTCCACTGCAGTATCAAAGATCGTCTCAAAAATTGCAAACCCATTATACATGGACGAAGTTTCTCTACACCATGAGAGAGGACACTTTGCTCGTGCCATTGCTGAGATGGAAGTCCAAGGTCAGTTCCCTGAATTTAATATCCGTACCACGCTTAATGGGTCGCAATGTTCAGTTAGGGTCGAATATGAATGGAAGCCGCAATTTTGTAAGTTGTGCAAACGATTCGATCATCTTGAAGCAAACTGTCCTTCAATTGTCAAACAACATAATCCTAAACCAAAGATGTCAGAGCAGTGGGTAGTCAAGTCTAAAGGAAAGCTCATTGCTGCTTGTGATGACATCATTCCAGAACCTCAGCACATAGCTTCTGCAAGTGTTCCAGAGGTTGATCAATTAAACCCAGCTATTGTGGATCAGAATGGCTCTGATGGTTTTGTTACTCAATCAAACTCCAAAAACAAGTCTAGAGACAAAGGTAAAAGTATTGTAACTCAGCAGCAAGTCCTTTCCCCTAATGCCTTCGCCATTCTTGATGAAATGCCTGAGAGAACCGAAGCCTTGATTGTTGAGCATCTTCCTAAAGTTTCTTCCCCAGAAGCTGACAATGTGCGAGATCAATTGAACCCTCCTACAGGTGGTGTTCCACCACCCCTGGGTGGGAAGAAGAAAAATAAAAATAAAAAGTACAATGGGGTGCCTACAGACAGAGTGACAAGGGGTACAGCAGGCAGGTAGTGTTCCACTACCCCCTGCCCCCAATTTATGTTAGGCTCATGGAATGTTAGGGGCCTTAATAAGCCTAAAGATGCAAAAGGAGGTGACAAATTGGATTAAAACGTTTAACCTCTCCTTGGTGTGTCTTGTTGAAACAATGGTTCAGCCTTGCAAATTTCCAAACATTGCCGCTAGAATTAAGAGAAATTGGAAATGGGAAGCTAATTATAATGATAGCTCAGGTGGTAGAATTTGGGTAGGATGGAATTCGTCAATATTCCATGTATGTACCATTGCTAGCTCTTCCCAAACCTTGCTATTTGCCTTACTAGTTCAACATTCTATTTTTCTGCTGCGTATGCTGCTAATTCTCCTAAGGACAGAAGAATACTATGGACTACTCTAGCGCTTCATTCAACTATGATTAAGGGCCCATGGCGACAAACTGGGAGGTTGTGCAGTCCCTCAGGCAACCTTAAATGATTTCAATGATGCCATTTCCACCTGTAATCTGCTGGAACTAGTGATTGTAAATGGAGCCTGGTCTTGGACAAATAAAAAGCACTCCCAAAGAAGAATTTGGGCCAAACTGGACCGGGGTTTTGCCGTTTGTTAATTCAGATTGGCTGTGACGGCCCAAGTTTTGTAAACCCGATGCGTCAGTGATGACTAAAAGATGACCCGATAACAAATCCGAAATGCGGAAGCGAAATGTCAAAAATGACCTCTAGAGATGTACGTCATCCCTAAGGTACCAAAAGGACTCCCTATGAAGCCATGGAACTCAAATGAACTAAGCAATGCAAGAATGCCAAACTCGATAAGAAATGAACCAAGGGTAAAAAGGGTCATTTCAAGCTGAAATGGATGCCACCGTGCATACCATTGGAAATACAACGAAAAATGGATGAAGTTAGACACAAGAATCACCTGATTCGGAGTCTGGATGGAAAAGATATGAAAAGGAACAAAGCGGTATTCTCCGTTTAAGAGGTACCACGAACCTATCTCACTTAAACTGGAATTACTCTCACTACAATTGGAGTTTTGATGTGTGGTTAGTACCATTGGAAAGCTAACTTCAAGCTCTTGAATTTAGACTCAAGAACGACCCAATTTGGATTAGGAATAAAGGAGTTATGACCCTCTGAAGTTGGTACAACAAGACTGTCCAAGAAAACTGGGAAGAAAAGGTCCCAGGGAGGATCAGTCGATCGAAATGCAACCATCAGCCGGTCGATACTCAACCTTCGGTCGGCCGAACTCCAATCATCAGCCGGCCGAACGATGATTTTCCTTACAAGGCTACTGGAATGACTCCTCAAGCATGTGTCAGCTGGCTGATGGCCCTCATCAGCCGACCGACGTAGTAAACAGCAGCAAAAGCTGCTGCTGCAATGTGATGAAAACTCACCTGGTCCAACCTTGATGCTATGCATATATTCCAATTGATCCTAAACGAGTTTGAAAACATTTTTTAAACTTATTCAAGCATAGATAACATGCTAAAATGAAAGGGAAGCATGAAACTCCCTCCCATGCATGAATTTTGCATAAAAATCCATAAATCATTCCATAAATAGTTCAAAAGTTGCAACTTAAGAGTTTTATGAAATGTGAGTATGCCCGCAAACGAAAAATAATGTTTTAGACGCGCTACAATGGCCTATGGCCTCATTTCAATCCGTTTACAAAATTTAACCTTTCAAACCTCCATTTTCATAAAATAGGCTATTAAGGCAAAACTTGAGTTTTAAAAGCATACATATAACTTTGAAGTTTAATGGCCCTTGGCCTCATGTTTCACATACAAAAAGAGCATTGCTAAGTGTACTTAAATACACATTATACATCAAAGAAGCCATTTAGCTTGCAAGATACCATACATCCATGGTATACAAAATATAACATCCAAAAGGTAAAGCATGCTAAACAAGTGCATGTCAATATATAAAAATGCTACAAATGGCTCATTGGCCCCTAAGGATGATGAGCATCCGAGAACATTGTCTCCTTACCTATAAAATAACCCACACAACTAGGGTGAGTAATCCAAGTTACTCGTAGGAAGAAGCATATGCGTATACCCTAAAGTTTCAATATCATTGCAAGATTAATATAGACGAATACAAGGGATCATTCCACTTAACGTCTATGTTCAAGGTATTCTAAGGGATCATCTTAAACTAATGCAATGTTTCCATCACAACACAACATTAATATCAATGTACTTAACAACATTAAATCGCCAATAACCAAAATCACAAGTCACAATTAAGCATTGATTGTCAACTTGGAAATGAATGCGAAATCAAATAGTGGAAAACTTGGACATCAAATCTCGGATAAAGCCAAGACCTAAAAGGTTATTCCAGGCATTAACCCGCTGGGAATACCACCCTAGTGCGCACTATAAATGGGGAGAACTCATACCTCCCGCACTAGATCCAAACTCTAGCCATGTCACTTGTAACAATGTCCCAAGAGAATCCAAAATCATTATTAAGTTCAAAACTTATACACAAATATTAAGGCATATATACCACCTTCCATGCACAAGTATTTCGAAACCACACAAACCATGTCTTAGGGTTCCAGTCTAGAATAGCATAATAAATGACAAGTCCTCACCATGATATAATATACAAAACAATATTTCTAACTTATCAATTTAAATCATGCCTCAACAATAAGCTTTA